GTCTCCTCCTCACTGCTTCAGCCCAAATTGGCTCTGGGCTGTGCAGGCAGCCTCAAGCGAATGGTGTCCGTGTGAGAGGGGCACAGCTGTTGTACCAAGGCAGCACGTCATCCTCTGTCACCAAGTGAGTGTGCTCAACAGAGGCAAAGTGTTCTGAGATCTGGGCTTTGGGAAGGACTCTCTCTAAATGCCCCTGGCAGCTTTTCCTAGTTTTATTTGAATCTTCTGAGGTCTTGGCACCGGAGTCACGTGGTACAATTCAGACACTCAGCTCCTCGGCAGCCACGGCCGGCTGTGTGGCGCATGGACTCTCCCAGCTGGCGCACCTGGAGTGCTTTATGTCATCCTGTGGAGTTTGAACAGCAGTTCCTGGATTTCTGGAGTTAAGTCCTGAGGGGTGTATAAGGTGCTGCTACTCTTTCAGAAAGTGACTTAGCAGTACGGGGCAGACATCTTCCTATGCGACGGGTTAAGTATACAGGCACTGGCACTCAAGAGAGGTGTCTGAAACTCAGCTCTGCTGCTAACTAGTTGTATAAATAAGTGTAGCAATAACCCCTTGGAGGTTCAGTTACTTCTACAAAATGTGCTTATAATACCTACCCTGTCCCCCAAATTTCTCATGAAGATTAAATAAAATGCTATATGTGAAGTGCTTAGCACATAGTTCTCAGCTAACAATAGTTGTTAATTCTAAACCTTATAATGATATAAAATAAACCAAGGCCCTGAGAGGAGGTATATTTACCTGGCTTTTTTCATATCTAAAGACCTAGTATGAGGAGCAGTTTGGGCAAACCCTAAACACACATACCATCAATCCTTTGTGGGCACAAAGGACAGCAGTTACAAGAACACACATAACAAGGCCATAAAGGGATTTTTGTAAGGAAGGTGGAATTCTGAAAAAAAAATACAGAAAAAGGGCCAGGAACGGATCTGTAGAAATGTACACTCATGGTTGAATGAAAGCAGTTAGATTCAGAATGATTTTCTCTCTTTCCCCTAAGTTTCAAGTTGTCTATGAGATTACTGGATCATTCTGATAAATAAACAGAAACGAAAATCACTTGAAAAGAGTAGACTTGGAATGGACCTAGTCAGGAGGAGCGCAGGTGTTCTGCGCCTCAGCCATGGGCAGGCAGTGCATTAGCAGAGGGCGCCGAGGGCAGGCCATGAGGACTGGACCCGGCCAGCTCTCCCCACAAGCTCCATCCCTGGGATGAGCAAACAGCCACACCATCTCCCTCCATGCTTTCCGCTGCTATGTGAGGGCCACCGTCCCTGGCTCTACTGCCTCCTCCCAGCAGGGAACAAACGTTAGGCTGCCTGGTGAGAGAAACACTTGGGGTCAGCGTGGCCACCCACCCTTGCCCAGTCTGCACAGTCTGTGGTCTTGAGTGCAGGCCATCCTGATCGCCCTGCTGGCTTTCTAGGCTGGCTGCAGTCCTCAGCATCTTGCCAATTGGGAGGGAAAGAAGCTGGGGTCAGACATATTCTGGCTGGACACCACCAACGCCCACTCTAGCGGGTCCACAGGTGTTTAGTCTACATGGTGCCCACCATAGTGGCCACATCCTCACTACTAAGAGTGGACAGAAGCATTTGGTGTTAACTAGAAAGGTGGCAGTGAAGAAAGGGCCAGGTCTCTGCTATCATGCAGCCAAACTCACTGCTGTCTGGCCCCAAGACCCCAAGCAAGTTACCAAAGATCACTTCCTGAGCCTCAGCTTCTCCACGTGCCCAACGCGAAAGCTCCACCTACTTCACAATCTCAAGGGATGGTCAGCAAATGCTACTCCTCTCCTTCCCAACAGACACTAAGGCGCCGAGAACACTGCTCTGTGGCAGTGGCAGAATGGGAGGGCCCTCTGGTTCCCAACTCTGAGCTCCAGGGAACCTGAGGGGAGGGGTGACGAGCTGGGAAAGCCACTTTAGGATATGGAACTGCTTGGGGCAAAGCCAGATCACAACTGGGCCCCATGAGCCCTGTCTCAAGGAGGTCAAATGGCTTTCCTGAGTCTGTGCTCCCAATTTGGGAGGTGACCTCATAGGGTGTAGGGCAGTGAGGGGCTCCCACGTGCTCCTGCTGACTGGTATTTAGGCCAGGCCTCTCCTGATGGTGAGGGCATTCCTCCAGTTCTCCTCTAAAAAATAAGGGAAGGAGCTGGTACTTGGAGAGAAATGCAGACTGCATGTTAATCAGCTAATGGTAACTGAAAAACAGAGAGAGGGTTTCTCCAGAAATCTCTCAGAAATGTTCTTCCTAATGCCAACAAAGGGCCCCATGCGGGCTAGGAAACCGACTCCTGATACAGGAAGAAAATCTGATGGGTGAAAATTTCATTTTGGGCAAACGCAAGTCCGCACAGAGTCACCATGGGAACTGCCTTTAGGGCCTCCTCTCCAACATGCTGTGTACCTAGCAGGTTTTCAAAGATAGTTGGTGAATGAGCTGACACATGAATGCACAGATGGAGCAATGGACGGAGGGACATCAGCTGGAAAGGAAGGAACAGACTTCATCGACGGACTGGGCTGCGAGCTGTGGCCACTGCTGCTGGCCTTAAAGGATCCCAGAATGCTCAGCGGCTGCACTCTTAATCAGCTCCATCTTGCTGGCCGTGAAGTTAATTACGGAATGTGCTACTGGAAGTAAGGGTGGGGGCAAGAAGCCGGAAGGACGGAATCTCCCCCTCAGCTTCAAAGATCCCGCATCCCCTTGTGCTGCCCAAATCCTCTGTTTCCGATGCACTTTGATATTCCCGGCAGAGATGAAGACCCAGGATTCAAGAGAATCCAGGCCAGATGAAAGGGCCAGGCCCTGCGACCATGTACCCGACACAGAACCACCCTTGACAAAGGCCCATTAAGCTCTGGCTCCTGCCTGCCGGCTCGTCTTCTCGAATCTCCTAACACAATGCTGACAGATTGGTGGAGCTGGTTTCCTTTTCCCCAGAACAATATTTTATGAGGAGTCTGTTTTATTAAAATATTTTCCGCTGGATGCTTCCTGTGTTTCAAGAAGTTGGTCTTGCCAGCTGGAGCTGATGACAGTTGAGAAAAACACATCCAAGCGCTGTTGTGACATGGCATTTGGAAGTAGAGGAGCATGTGGGGGGAGGGGCAGCCACATGGAAGAGATGCAGGAAAACACTGGGGTAGCACCAGAAATGTCACCGGCATCACGGGAGCACAGCCTCTCTCCCTCTTCATTAAGAAAACGTGAAGAGAAACTCTTGTGGCGGTCTCCCAAAATGTCTCTCTCTACTTCTTGGGGGGCCTGAGCCCCTGTGAGGTGTGGTCACAGAAGACCTGTCCTGTGCTGCCACTGTCAGTATGCCAGCTCCCTAAAGTAGCCCCCACGGCCCCACTGTTCATCTCAACTCCTAGTGCTTCCTGAAAAGAAATCTAAGATGGGCACAATGCAAAAAGAAACTACGAGTCACAGCAGCACAGCTCAGGTGACACCCAGGCAATGGCATTCTTGGGCCCTGGCACACAGGAGTCATCGCCTAGTGCTGGGGTTGGAAGAGCAACAACATAAATGAACGTTGATACAAGTTTAAGCTCTAATCAGGAAACTGGTCATAACGTGGGTAATGCTTTTCGGTAGACTATGGGGGCACTTTTGGTCTGGGATGTTTGTGCAATGCATTCTGGGTTTACAGCTCAGAAACTCGTGGGCCCATAACCCAGTACAGTGTCTAGAAGGTTTAGTTCAGTTTTAAAGAGGTGACTTTAAAGAAATGTTAACTTCATCCTGCTCAGGAGAAATCTTCAAGGCCTGAGCAGGTATGGAGCTATGGAGCAGTCTCTCCACAAGGGGGCAATCGCAGTCCATGCCAGGGAGCTTTTCCGCAATCCCACCGCCCCATTGTGTACAGTGTGTAAATTAAACCTACACCCAACTTCAGGAGCCCTGTGTTTCAAGTGCACACAACCATGCATCTCCTGAGACTCGCCCCACTCTCCCTGAGCTTTCTGTGCAAGTCTGGGGCTGTGGGGTGGGCTGCTTCTACAAAGACCTGGGAGTCAGGCAGGGTCAGCCTGGAAGGCAGGGGACCTGGGAGACAAAGTGCACCACAACCGGGGCTTGATCACAGCTCAGCATTCCGAATCGTCTCTTCCTTTTAGCTCCAATTTTACCCAGGCCTGGTCATCTCCCTTAACTTCTGTCCCTGAGAAGTTTTTGGAAAGCAAGCCAGGTACGAGGGGCATTCCCTTTTCCACTCAAAGGACTAATTTTTTTGATTCCTTCAACCACCCCAGACCAAGAATTCTTGTACTTGCTAAAGGCATCACAGGAAGCCGGTGTGTACCTGCTGAGCTGTCTGGGCAGGGCCCAAGGGTCGTGTGTCTTGTGGACAAAGGAAGGCGGCATTACTTTCTCCAGATGGCTCTGGAGTCTGGGTTTCTGCAGCTTTTGGTTTTACCCCTTTCAGGGAACTCATTCACCTCATCTATCCTGTGGTCATTCGGCCAGTGACTGAGACAGTTCTAGGCGACATCCTGCACCCAGGCCTGCTTCTGAGGAGGTCCAGGTCTGAGAGCATAGAGGAGAAGCAGTAGCAACACAAAGGAGATGCACAAAGGGCCTGGAGCGGGCAGAGAGTAAGGAAGCCCCATACACAGATCTGAGCCACAGATCTGAGACCTTGGACGCCACTCGGCCTAAGGTGGTGGCCTTGTTAACCAGGTGGCCTCTTTGAGCGGTTGCTAGCCCTTACCTGAGGACTCCACATCCTTACCAGAAGCAGCCTGGGGCTGCCTTGTGGGCCTCGGCACTCAAAAGCCAGCCCAGGGGAGTGATTCCCTGGTCTCTGGGGCCTTCTGCTGATGTGACTACTGGGAGGAACAGAAGGAACACGCAGGGAGGATCCAGCCCTACTTCCAACTGGCCTCTTTGTGAACCTGCTTAGGCTGGGTTACAGATCTGACAGCCACAAAGCACTGCTCTGTTGGGTTCTCACAGGCCGGAGGCGGGCAACAGTACTCACTGCTCAGGGCTTGGAACAGACGTCCTTCGGCCTTCCATGGAGATGTTGCTCTTCGGTCTCTTGACAACATGAGGACGGGGAGGGCGAACCTGGAAAGGTCAGCCAAGAAGGAATGAGTTGGAAAAGCCACATAGGGACATTCTGAAGCTTTGGAGAAGTAGCCCCAAAAGAAATGTTTAGGATTTTCAAAGTGCAGGCTACAAAAGCCCCCCGTTCGTCATGGAAATGCTCCCAGTTCATGTGCAATGGACAGACATGTTAACTGGACGGTGTTGCCAGCTGCCTCCCAGAGCTGCAGTGAAAGTTCCAGGAGGTGCTCTCAATGAGGGACTCAGAGAACAAGAGCCTTATTCTCATCGAGTAAAAAATTTCCCTCAGATTTGTTTTGGGGGTACACAATTATTTTGCTCTTTTTCTAACTGAGTTACAGGTGCTTAGTTTTTCTTTCTAAATAGGAGGGGGAAAGCAAGTAACAGTGTTAGAGAATGCCGGTTAAACCCATCCTTTTGCTTTCCAGGGGTCTCTGAGCCAGTCCTCCAGGAGGGATCGGTCGTGTGGCCACACTCTGAGTGCAGACCTAGTCAGAGGGTGGCAGTAGGGGTCCCAGGAAATGAGCCACTTCCTAAGCTCACAGTTGGTGCTCTGATGATAAATGGATTGGTTATTCTAAGGTGCCACCTCTGAAACCCAAAGCAAAGGCCCAGAGAAAAGGCACCCTTCCTTCACCAGACCTCTGATGGGTGTTATAGGAATTTCTAGGTGCTCTTCGAAGGCAACTCATTTGGTTCAATCAGCACTGCATAGCTTTACATTTCATACCACCATCTCTGACCATTTCCAGTGCCAGAGAAGGGCAAGGAGAGAGGTAAGCTAACAAAGTCCCTCTGAATTTCACTGCTAATAAAACAACTGATCACTGCGGAGGGTGGAGAGGGCTCACTTTCCCTGCAGATGCAACATCACACTTGCTGAGTTTTGAGGACATGACAGGCAAGGAGAGGACACACGCGCTCTATTTCCTGCCTGCCTCCCAGCCCCACCACTCTCGCCCTCAACAATCTGTGGGCAACACAGCACAATGGCTTTAGAACAGAGGTTGGCTGCATACAAGACAAGTCTTTATAGTAGAATCTCATCAACCCCTTGGGTCTGCACATGTCCGATCCAACCAAAGTTTTTCTTGCGGAGTGGCCAGTCTGAGCCCAGCCTTGTTGAGCAAACTGGAGATGAGGTGAAGCCAAACGCATTCCACCAGACTTGCTCTGTTGTCTTTCACGGCCGCTGTGAAGGTGTAAAGACAGGGCAGGGCCCAGAGAATGCCCCAGTGTGGGATCTGACATGGTGGGTGCTTCATAAGTGCTCATCTTGCTTCTCTAGATATCCCCTTCTTGTAATCAACAAAAGGAAGATGGGGGGGGGTGCTTCTGAATTAGCAGATGAATTTTAGGGTTGTCTTCTTCCTAGCCTCTTGCAATGTGCCTGATAAGTAGTTGGAAGTTGAGTGAGTTTTTTAGAAACATAGAACGTTGCTGCTTGAAATCTACAGGGCACAGAAGACTGTCACTGTTATTGTCATTGTTGCTAGCATGGTGCCCACCACCCGGAAGACATGTAGTCAACATTTACTGAATATGTAAATGAATATATCCCCATTCCCCATGCTAACTGTGAGCTGGTTTCCTTGGCCGCAGCCAGACTTTGGCAAACACAAACAGGATCTGCATGCTAGCAGGATCCCTCAGACTGTTCCCCACCAAGGCAAAGGCGGGCTGCAGCTGGGGTGGGGGAGCGGTTCTGCCCCTGCCCCAGGGGGTCTGGGCCAGGCATTCTAGTAAGGCCAGACTTTAAGGCCTGTCAGCTCATCCTGCACAGAGCTGCTCCTTGCTACAATAAAGACGGGTTAAGAATGTGAACTTGTGGCTGAAATGGGGGGATTAAGTTTGTGGCAACTTCAACTGAACTTGCAACGTGGTGAAACATGGGGAAAAAGAACAACAGAGCTAATTAGACGAGCTGAGCTGTCAGAGTGCCGCTGAATGGCTCAGCGCCAACAAACAAAAGGAATGGGTTGGCAATCAGCAGGATCGATGGAGGAGACTGCTTCATTAGGGATGATAAAACAGACAGAGGGAGAGAGGGGGAGGGGCGGGGGCAGGAGAGGGAGAGAGAGACACAGGCGACCAGAGATAGTCACCCTCGCGGTTCCAGACCCACCCGGAGTCACACACACCTGACTGCCGTGGACAAAGCCAGACACAAAATTAACTTCACAGACAACCACCTGGAGCACCGAGGCATGGGGACTGCACCATACACAGTCTCACCAACACACAAAGCATGCATGGAGGTGTAGGCACATGAATCTCTCTCTTTCTCTCTCTGTCACACACACACACACACACACACGCAAGCACACACAGCAGCAAACCACAACCAGCCAAAGGCACACACAGACAAAATGGTTTAATTAAGCCAGGATCACAAGACGATGCAGACAACTCCCGTCATATTTCAGCAATCACATTCCTCTTTCAGGGGTGCTTTGTAGGGGTGGGAGTGGGAAAGAGGGAGAAAACTACCCGCACACATCAGGGGCGGGCCCACCACTGCTAGGATCCCAGCAGCGCCAGGGGAGAAAATGCTAAACAGGGATTTCCAGCTCCGTTCAAGGGGGACCGGAGGGGAGAGTTGGGAAGCCAGCCAATTCCCCCACTGGATTTAAAATCTGAGAAATCTAAGTCGGCAGGGTTAAATGTGTATTGAATACAAAAGCACCGAGTACATTTGATTTTAATGGTGAGCAAGAAATAATAAATACAGAGCTTATAAAGTACTTCTCGTATGGGCCGACCACACCTGCCTCTCCTCAGCAGGTCCAGACCACTGTCCTTGGTTGTGAGACCCCAGCACCAATTTCTTCTATTTTTCTTTTAATAAAAACCCCCAAACCTTGTGGTCACAGCTGAACTCCAGCCACAGGTGTCAGGCTACAAAGCTCCTTCCAGAAAGGAGCAGGGGCCGGGCCTGGGGCCCACCTCCCTCGGCCAGTGGCTGTACTGGAATTTAGCAGCTAGGAGACCCGGCAAAGCCTGGCTGGGGCATGTCAGACAGTCTTTGAGACCCTGAGGAGCCCCATCCCCAGGTTTCTCTGGTTCCTACCTAGAAAGTAGTAGTGTCCACTGAGAGTGCTTGCATAAATGCACGCAGAGTGGACAGTCCTGCAGCCTGGGGACCATGGGGCCCAGAAAGCACACATCTTCTTGTGGCTTCCAAACTGTCTTGCAGCAGTTCTGCTTGGCAGGTGTACATATCCGTTTCATGCTGGGCGCTTTTCACATGTGACCTTATTGTCCTCACCTGGTGGATACTGCTGTGTTCATTTTGCAAACAATGAAACTAAGGCTCAGAGCAGGTAAAGATCTTGCCTAAGGCCACACAGCTAGAAACTAGTCAAGCTGTGATTCAATTAATCAGGCCTCTCTGTATTTCAGCCCAGGGGAGCAGACCTCCAGGGCATCTGTTTCCCAACCCTGAGTGCTGGGCTTGTTCTTGCGCCAGGTCAAAGGCAGAGGCAGCTACTCATCAGGCTTCTCTTGTGGCAACCTCCTCTCTCCCAGTCCTCATGTGCTGGTGGAGGCAGCTGGGCATCCCCTGGTCCACCCAAGTCTTCATGCTGGTGAGACTGCAGAGTCCCCCATGGGTGTCTCTCCAATGTGTGGGTTTTTCCAAGGCAGGTAACTGTACCCTGAATCATGCTGGTGGCCTGCCTGTGCTGGAACCCACACTTCTAAGGATTCTGAGAGCTACCCTTTAAAGGGAGTCAAGGGGAGGCGGTTTGGTAGGGAACAAGACCAGTCTGGCTTCTTATCATCTCTGTGGTCTTGGCTACAGAAAGGGGAAAGGGCATTTGTTCTTACAAGCTGTAACAAGGGTGAGTGGGACAATAACTATTTGGGTGCCCGGCACCGTCCTGGCCACATTAGAAGGAGCCCAGCACGTGTTAGTCCTCTCCACCTCTGTATCCCTGCCAAGACCCAGCACTGCACTGCCCATGCCACAGGAAGTCCAACTAGCTGCTGCCATTTTCTCAACTGAAGCTTCTGTCCCAGTACTTTATGCTTCATCTGTCTCTGTTTCCATGGTGATGGAGGGTCCAGGGAGCTTGGGATGCTGAAACATCACAGGTTCTAGAACCTTGTGATCCCTGGAGAAGGACTTGGATTAAGAAGCACCTGCTGTTACCTGTCTGTAACATGGGTGGTGACAACATGTACTTTACAGGGCCACTATGGATCTCAACTGAGGTGAGGAAGCTAAGAGGGATTTGCTGACCACAAAATCCCAAGAAATGATGGTTCTTAATAAACCGGGCCATTCCTCACAAGTTGTAAAATCTAAGAACCTGTTGAGGAGAATGTGTGCTTGTGTGCCAGGTGCTAGGCTGGGTACTCTTCAAATGTTTCTCCTGTTCATTCTCACAGAAAACCCCTTTGAATGAGGGTCTAGGATAGAAGCAGAAATGAAGCTCACACAGTTTCAGACTTTGCCCAAAGTCACACAGCCTCAGCTTCTGAGAGTAGCTCTTGATTCCCCGAATCCATGCTGTTAACGACTATATGGAAACACTCACTAAATCCTGCAAGGTTCAACCCAGAAGGAGCTTCCTGCTTCCCAAAGTAGGCCTTCTTGCTGCTTGCTTCTTTCCAAAGACAGTGAGCAGGAACAGTCCAGCCTCTTCACAGGTGTGCTGATCGGGGTTTGGGTTAATCATGCTTTTACAGGGCCACAGGATGGATCAATTGTCCCAGATGCTGGCTGACTCATGGCTGTTACAGGTGAAGCCAGCTAAATCCTCCAACTCTAGCCTAGCCCTCTCACTCCTATGCATGGTGGGTAAGGGGAGGAAACAGCCTGTCCCAGCATCCAACATCCAGCTGATGCCATGTATGCCCACCAAGGATTTAAGACAGTCATACAGTTTGACCTGGTGCCTTCATGAGATGGACTGACTGTGCACACTGCTGTGGGTGGGAAGGGCTGGGATGTTAGCTTGTGGGGTGTTCTGATTACAGCTGACCCCTGTGCTCAGCCATGGAGTGTGAATGTTTGGGACCACAGATTGGGACACTTTCCTAGTTAAACAGCCCCCATCAAATGGTCCTGGCAAGTATTTCACTTTAAGGCACCTGCTAAAGTTGTTATGCTTCAGCTTGGCCAAAGTCTGAGCATACAAGGGAAAACAGCCTTACCAATGCCTGATGCCAGACCCACGCCCTGCATTTTTCCACGGTGTTTCTCTTTAAGACACACAATGGGCCTCTCTTCCCCTCCTTTCCTGTTCCCAAGTGTTGGTGTATTTATCACACCTTGCCCTGCTATTTTGCTCCTAATGCCACACTTTCCTGGGAAGCTGGCTCTCCGTGGGAGGCCTGGAAGGGCTACACTACCTGTCTCCATTTGGGTGGGCTCCACATTCTCTGGGCATAGCCTCTGCCCTCAGGAGGGAACACACCAGTGCCTTTCCAAACCAAGATCTGGTAGGGGTGAGACCCCTGCTGCCAGCCTGTAGCTTCCCTTGTGAGGAAGAGGCATTTGGAGCAAGGCTTTAAAGCTCCCTGGCTAGAAACTGGGCTTGCCTGTGGGGTGCTAGATGATACACACACCCAGCTACTGTGCCTCTGACCCTCTGAGCATCATGGGATTGATTTAGAAAAGGAGACAGAAGCCCAGAAAAATGCAAGTTCAGGTTCATGCCACACAGCGCGGGAAGCTGAGAACCCAATTCCCGGTTTCCTCTTGCCAGGCAGGAGAGTCCACACGCCCGAGGTTTAGTCAGTTGGGGAGAACAGCTCAGGCAGTGTTAGGCGGAAGGGCACACCACCAGCTACTCACGGGCCTTGCACGCTGTATCTTGGGAGGCGGCGGTCGAGTGGGATGGAGTCTTTGTGGCTGCATTAAAGTGGAAACTTAAAACATCAGTACCTGCCAAGATGGTGCCATGCATTTCCATACACAGCATGGGAGAAGGCGTCTACCTCAGGTGTCATCTCAGGCCCTGCCACGGTGCCATCCTTGACCCCTCCCAGTCCTCTCCTGCCTTGGTCAGCTTCCAAGGCTGTCCCCTCTGCCAGTTGCTTGGTTCTGCTTTTGTCCCTAGTCTGGATTACTACAATCATTTCCCGACAGGGCCCCCTGCTAGGGGACTCCATCATCTTCCTCGGAGGCCAAGGGATCTCCCAATTGCAGTGCAACCAGGTCACACTCAGTTTCAAAACTCTTCTGCTCCTCCTGTGCTGGGGTGATAATTCAAGGTCCTGGGCCAGCATGTCAAGTGCTCCAAGACCTGGACCCTACTTTGCTCCATGGAGACCTGCCCCAGCCCTCACCCGAGCCCTCCCTCAGCACACCTTCAATGGCCTGCGCTCTGGCGCCCCATCGCCTGCTTACTCCTCAGGGAGCACGTTCTCCCCTGTCCCAGTTGGCAGGGTAAATTCACTTGTCCTTCAAGACCCTGCTCAGATCAGGGGCTGTCTCCAGGACTCCCACTACCCCAGTCTTTCTGCTGCTTGAGATTCACTGTGAAGTATCCCCCAGCCCCACACACTATCTTTGAAATACCCATTTCCTTGAGGGATCCATCCCTTGGCTGCAGAAGGGTGTATGGGACTTGGAGGAACAGAAAAAAAAAAAAAAAAAAAAAAAAAAACTTGCTCAGTAAACGTCTGATGAACAAATACAATTTATACAAAATGCTTGGCTTTGAAATCAGGATCTGAATCAAAAGCAACAGAGTACAGACTTCTCAGCCTACCCTCAGCCTTTCATCTCAGAAGCCACACTGTGTCCTTTCAACAGCACACCTAGAGGCCCTGACCACGGCGGGAGCGGGGTGGGCAGAGGAGGGTCAGTAAACTCACACAGTCTGAGACTGTGGTCCCCCAGCAAACCTTCCACTTGGTCCCTGTCCTTCCAGTCATTCAGTTCATAGAGCTATGTCACCATTTGTCAGTCTTCAGACCTGCACTGGCGGACACAGTGGCCACATGTGGCAAACAAATTAAGATGTGTTGTAAGCATAAAAAAAACCCCAGATTTTAGAGATTGAAAAGAAAAGAATATAAAACATCTCAGTAATTTTGAAAAACTGATTACATGTTGAAATGATAGCATTCTGGATATTTGGGTTAAATATATCATTAAAATCAACCTCATCTGTTTCTTTTCTCTGTGTTTTTTTTTTTGAGACAAGGTTTCACTATGCAGTTCAGGCTGACCTTGAGCTCACTTTGTAGCCCAGGCTGGTGTCGAACTCGCAAGAATCCTCCCACCTCAGTCTCCTGAGTGCTGGGATTATAGGCGTGAGCCACCACGCCCGGCTCTCTGCTTTTTCAACGCCTTTATTAGAATGTTTAGAATCCTACATGTGCCTTGAATGTGTAGCAGTTGTCACTTTTTTCAGCTAGTCTTACTTGGTGGGAATGACACACCTTTTGTCAGATAGGTTTTATTTATTTATTTTCCTTAGTTCTGGGGATTGAATTTATGAGCTTGCACTTGCCAGACAGGAGCTTGTGCCACTGAGCTATATCCCCAGCCCCTGAAATGGGACACTCTGGATCTCAAATCTGCCTTGATCTGCTTGGAAGTCTTTTTGTTTTGTGTTGTTTTTTGGTCACACTAGGAATTAAACCTGGGGTGTTCACCCTGAGCTATATCTGCAGTCCTTTTGTCTTTTTAGTTTTTATTTTGATGTAAGGTTCTTGCTAAGTTGCCCAGGGTTGTGTCAAGCTTCTGATTCTCCTGCTTCAGCCTCCCAGAGAGATGGGATTATAACCATGTGCCACCACACCTGGCTTTTCTGAACCCAGCTCTTAGAGGACAGGGGCCATGTTGGAGGTGTCCCTAGATTCCTGGTGTCCAGCATAGAGTTTCTGAGAACGGCCCAAATAGAAAGTCAGCAGAGGGACTTGGTGGAGGACTGCATTCTCCTGTAGTACACCAAGAGCCATTCCCCAACTGCAGCTCCCTGTAAGGTTCTGCACATCTGTAGGCTGGGCCCAGGGCTAGCACCTGAGGCTGCTCAGCTCCTACATGGCCTCAGTGGGACTAAGGCTGGTAATAAGCAGGCTTTTGGGAGCTTAGGTGGAGGAGAGTAGTCTAAGGAGGATGGAAATGCACTGTGGCTTCCCAGATACTATACAATCAGCTGGGATTGAGGGCTGTCCCGGGCCTGGTGACCCTTTTTCATTGGCAATTATGTGGGGGCTGGATGTCACCGAGAGAGATGGGCATGGCTGCTTTGTTTCTTCCCCACTGTGGCTTACAGGAAGGGGGCAGAACAAAAGGAAATGAAGCCTAAGTCACGCTGCTCATCAGGAGGAAGAGGAGGACAGGGAGAAGGGGTCCATCTCTCCACAGTACACAGGTGGCTGCCTTCAGGCCAGGTATTTGCTCTCCCATCCACCCAACTGCCCCTGCTTCTCTCATGCTTGGCCACTCTACTTCTTGCGACCATCTTCTCCAGTTTTACTGTCCTCACTGCTTGTCACCTCTGGCTTGGGCTACTTCCATCCCTGCTTGATGGCAGCAGGGTAGAGTGATCAGGAGGAGGCCTTGGGGGTCAGACAGTGTCCAACAGAACACCAGCTGCATCACTTGCTCTCGGGCTTACTGGGCCTACGATTGGCCCATTCGAGCCTCACTGGCCTCCTCCATGCAGGGAGGGTAACAGCACCCTCTACCCGAGAGTGCTGTTAGAAGATTCAGGGAGATGGTGTACAGTGCTGCCACTGGACATTAGCAACTATCACCATTAGCAGGTTCCCCTCTCCAGCCTCTCAACCTCCCAATCCATCTTCTACACTTGTTTTTAGAGTGGACTTAAAAATACACATGCCTGATCATGCCACTTGCCAGCTTAAATCATCTTAGTGGAAGGCCGAGAAACACTGCCCTGGGAGATGCATTGAATGAAGGGAGAAACAGGGTTCCCCAGCCAGCAGGTCTGGGAAATACTGCTTGCTGTCTGGCTCCTTTTGGAGAGTCACAGTGCCTGGTTAGCATGGTAAGGGCTTCTGAGTTTTGCAATTAAAATAAAAACAAACTATGAATTATTCTGAAGAGGGCTTGTGTCCCAAACTTATTTGTACAGACTTACTTTTCCTATAAAACACCCACCAACATCCTCTGAAAACGCAGCCCACAGTGTCAAAAGCCCTCCAGCATACGCCTCTCACCTTTGCAATCTCATCTTTGACTACCCCCCCAGACACAGACACAGGCTGTCATTGTCAGCCCGGTATTTGGTTCCTCACAGGTGCTCAGTAAATGATTTTTGGCTGAAATTTCCTGGCACATGTAGAAACTCAATCAATGTTAGTTCTCTGGATTCTTTAGGTAGCTTACTTTCCAAAGCTTATCTTAGGGAAGTGCTATTTTTTTTTTTGTTTGTTTGTTTTTTGTGCTTTTGCAATCACACTTATAAATGGTGCAAGAAGACAGTCTCCTGGCCATGCCCAGCTAGGAGCTGGCAGAGAACGCTGGGGGATTTAAAGATGCCCAGGAGGGTAATGTGGTACAGATGTCCTGGTGCAAACAGATAGATAAAAACAAAATCCAACAAAAGCAACTAAGAATAGGAAACCACACTGCTTGTGTCTGACATCTGGAGAGTTTTCCCCTCAGGTCATCGGCACTGAGGGATACAGTCACTAGAGAAAATGGCAGGAAGAGGGAGTCATGCTCATTAATCCTGAGCACATTCTGATGCTGAACACAGGACAGGGAACCTCAGCACGGCCACTAGGAGGAGAAAGGTGAACTCCCAGGGGGTGTGCATTAAAGACCCCCCGGGACTGAGGGGAGAAAGAAGGGAATGTCTGCGCTAATTATCAGGTGCCCTGCAATGCAGTGTGTGGGCCTTGGGGACCAGCACTGTCACCTTGAGGATTACCAGGGGACTGGATGGTGATCACATGCAGAGAGCAGTCTTAGGCTTTGGGTGCCAGAATGCTCTATTTGTGGGAAGTCCTCCTGGTTCCACCATACAGGCCTTGTTGCTGGGAGACTCTGATAAACTCCAGGCCTAGGTGTCTTCGGTTGTGAACACAATCATGAGCTCCTCACTGAGCCCCGAATGGTGGACAGGGCCAGGACAAAGCCAGGACAAAGCCTCTGCTCCATGGGGAAGGGAGTGGCGAGGGGGGCTGCAGTTTCCCAAATACACTCATACTTTAGTACTTGCATTGTTCCGAAACTAGTGGGGTTTGATAGCCACGCATCCTGATGTGGAAAGTCTGCCCTGACCCTCATTTGTCTGGTTGTTTGGTACTCAATGCACAAACTAGAACTTGCGTCACTTGCCTCATGACTCGTTATCCTTTCCAGCCAAAACAATTTGCTGGTACTTGTCATACCTTGTGGACTTGATTAATGACAAATACCAAGTTACCACTGGGGTAGATGCCAGCTGGGGACAGAAAGAGACATGGGGAGAGCCGAGTCCTCTGGGGAGAATTAGAACATCTGGGTGGGAAGATGAGTGAAGACAGAAGCCAGGGAAGGATGAAGTGATGAATTCAGATCAATTCAGCCTGTTCCAGAAAGCAGCCCCAGCGTCTGGGAAGCTGCACCCAGGGTTGAGTGAGTGTGGGGGCTACAACAGTGTGAAGTGGGGGCTGAAGAGCCAGCAGGGCTTGTCGATGGAGCGGAAGGACTCCTCCCTGGCACTGATGGAACAATTACTTGGGGCCAAAAGCCCTGCTCTAGGAATTCAGGTAAGAATAAGATGCAGATCCTCTCCTTAATGTACAGTCTGGCGAGACGTGACCTACAACACGGCAAAATGTCTTTCTTCAAGTAAAGAGTATTTGTGAGCGAAAACAAGAAATACACTTTGGATTCATGTCTTCTTGGGCACTGTCCTTTTCTATTTTATTTATTTGAGACAG